TTTTTTTTGTGTTTTTTACAGAGCTTATGCTTCTTGGGCTCATTTCATTGTTACTGGGGCAATGGGCAAGGTGGATTTCCCAAATCTGTGTCAACTCATCACTATTCAACAGTAAATTCTACATTTGTGCAGAGGCAGATTTTGATGACAAGAAAAGAATGTTGTTGTTCACAGAGGAATCATCACATCACAGCTCCTCAAATGCCACTCATGATATTAATATCCCTAAAGGAGTTAGTTATGTTCCATCTCATGTCTGTGGCGAGGTAACAACCGAGCATTTCAAGGGCCGAATCGCAATTTTCGTTTCCGTAGCTAAATATTTGATCTTTAATTCTATGATTCGTAAAATATTTTCAGGGTCGCGAGCCTTTCGTCTCGGCCGAGGGACTCGAACAACTTCACCGATTCTTGTTCGTCCTCGGCATCACTCATGTTCTGTACAGCTGTATAGTAGTTGGTGTATCTATGAGCAAGGCACATTTCCCTTATTTACTTTCTGGTGTCCTTAGTTTTAACTATTTGCATCATGTGATCGTTAACTTGTTAATTGTTTCGTTTGATACACGTTTTTCGCAGATATATAGCTGGAGAAAATGGGAAATTCAGGCAGGTATCGTGGCCAAGGCTAATGCAGAAGGTATTTGACGTAAAACTTCGGAAAACGAATCGTGCATTTTCCTCGTTTTAATATCTTTTATTTATTTTGTTTTATTGTATATATTTTCCAGCGAAAAGCAAGGTGATGAGACGACAATCTACATTCGCATTGCATCACGCGTCTCATCCGTGGAGTAGAAGTCGAATTCTTATATGGATGGTAAATATTTTCATCGATTATTGTTTCGATTACATAGTCTCTATGTATTCTTATTGTTGATGTTGATGTTGATGATTTGCAGCTTTGTTTTCTAAAGCAATTTAGGAGTTCAGTGCAGAAATCAGATTACATGGCATTGAGATTGGGTTTCATCACAGTGGGTATTTTCATTTTGTTCTATCATCTTCGGAAAAAACTCTTCTTGCTAACATTATAAACTGTAATGTACAAATTGAACCGATCGTTACCACAAAATTTGCAGAATCACAAGCTCCCATTGTCCTACAACTTTCACAATTATATGGTGAGGAGCATGGAAGATGAATTCTATGGCATTGTTGGTATCAGGTATTCCAATTAATAAGTACCTGAAATCGAACAAGTAATTTTTTTTTTTTTTCGAAAATCGATAGTACACAAAAATCCGTTCAGTTTTTTCGTTACTAAAACTGTCGAAAATTTAAATCGTGCTACAATAACTCTAAACGCAATCGAGTTAGATGGGATTTTTGTTCGAAAATTAATGTGTGAATATTTTTTGGCAGCTGGCCACTGTGGGGTTATGCTATACTATGCATCTTCATAAACATACACGGTAACGAAATTCTGAATCTCTAATCGAAACAGCACACTATATATTAACAACCATCTGTTTCAATTTCCTCTAACATGATTTCTTTTGGGTGTAAATGTTCAGGTTTAAATATATACTTCTGGCTCTCTTTTATACCTGTGATAGTAAGTTCTTTCACCAAGATAAATAAAAAAAATATATATATATATATTTAGTCTTTCCATTTGTTTTGTCTGTGTTTGGTACTAATTTAATTACAAAAAATCTCTTCAAAAGCTTGTCATGTTGGTAGGCACAAAACTACAGCACGTAGTCTCGCTTTTAGCTCTCGAAATTGCAGAGCCACGTGGGCCCTCACAAGTCGGAACACAAGTGAAGCCGCGCGACGATCTGTTTTGGTTCGGAAAACCGGAGATCTTGCTGCGTTTGATTCAGTTTATATCGTTTCAGGTCATATATATTGATTGTACAATCTCTTGTTTACTTTTAATAAAAAATATTTATTTAAAAAGTTCTTATTAATTAGTGCAGAATGCATTTGAGATGGCAACTTTCATCTGGTCCTTGGTAAGATAAGACTCCATCTTCCCTTTGAAACTCGGTAATACCATTCGATTAATATATTTGGCTTATTCTTTTTCGTTGTACTATTTTTGGGTATAAATTCGTGCAGTGGGGACTGAAGCAGCGTTCTTGTTTCATGAAAAACGACGCGATGATAGCCATTCGACTGATTTCCGGGTTCGTTTTTCTTGCTTATCTTTCATAACTATTTGTTTCATTCGATATATAGTTTCGAACATGGTATGAAATAGTATATATTTTCTAATTTCTCTTTTCTAAAAGTAGGTATGTATAATAATTAAAGTGTTACTTAATATTAGTTCCAATACTGAAATGCAGGGTCCTTGTTCAATTCTGGTGTAGCTACAGTACTGTCCCTCTAAATGTGATCATAACTACTGTAAGTAACTATCATTTTGGGACATCAATAGAATATTTGCTAAGATGAGCTCAAAGAGTGTGAAAATAATATTGTTCGGTATTTAGATGGGGTCTCGTTTCAAGAAAGCGTTGATAGCCGAAAGCGTGCGTGACTCCCTACACAGCTGGTGCAAGAGAGTGAAAGAAAGATCCAAAGCAACAAATTCCATCACAACAAGGTCAACATGCTCACTTGATTCGACTATCGATGAGAGGGATGAGATCATCACGGTTGCATCGGGCACACTATCTCCATGCTCCTCATCGGGCTCCTTACCCCAACTAGATGTAGACGGGCCTTCGAGCGTGGCCCAGGATACAGATAGCACCCGCTTGGACAGCTTTACTCAACACGAACACGAACACGAACACGAATTCTCGTTCAGGCAAATGCAGGGATCGAACGTGACTGATGAGGATGATATCGCAGCTGGTGAAGACAATGATGTGATGGGTGATGTGGAGGAGGGCAAGGCCGAGACTCTTTTCGAGCTGTTCCAAAAGACATGAGAATTTAATAGAGGAGATATATATAATTTTTTTGTAGTAACTAATTTGATATATATGCTGGATGAGTACAATATTGTTATATAGCTAACCAGGCACACACTATGGGGCTGCTGGGACCTTTGCCTCCCTTAAGTTCTTTTTCGGGTTATAAGTATGAAATATTGTTCAGATCGAAGCAAACGTTGCTGTAAGAACCTCGAGAGTACTGCTTCTGAACTAAGGCATTACAGACTTGGACACTTATCTCATCACTATATGGTAGACAAAAGAGGTTATCTTTCAATATCAATACATCCATTGCATCTGATTCTTTTGGACTAATACACTGTGATATATGAGGACTTTTATCAGTCACTTTTCTGTCACAAATACTTCTTAATAATAATTGATGATTTTAATAGAACTACATGGATATATATCCTTTAGCCACTGTTCTCGAAGTCATAGGCGTCCGCTAGACGCTCGACCAGCGCCTAGGTCAGCCTAAGCGGCTAGGTAGGGCCTTGAAATTAAGATTAAATACCTTATTTTTATTTATTTTCACTACCTACAAAATAAAACTATCTCAACTTATAATGAAACAATACTTCTAAGTTCAAATAATAATATTAATATATTACAAGACAATATTATAACAAAATAATGTAATTAGTATTTAAAAATATAAAAATAAAATAAAAAATTGTCGTCGAGCCCGCATAGGAGCGCCTAGGTCCGCCTAAGCCCACCTAGGCACCGCCGAGCCGCCTTGCCGATTTTTTCAGCCGATTTATGCAAATCGAAGGCGGCCGGGCAGCGCCTAGGCCGGTTTTTAGTACAGTGCCTTTAGCTGCCAAATCTGATGCTAAACATTACATCAAGCATTTTTAGGAGTTGGGATTCACTTATGAACAATGGAACCGGAAGATTCTCAGATTAACTGGCTTAGTCTCACAGCTTTCAAGAGTTGGGGTTCACTTCCTTCAGCCAGATCAGCCCTTCTTACTTTATCTTTTATCTGAGACTAGATGAGAGTGAGGTGATTAACAGTGAATTTACCTTGTAATTCAGTTTCCTTTGATCCACTCAATAAAATAATTAAAATTCTCATGAGTTTTCCCTCCCCTGATGCTATCCATGGTTTTCTCCTGAAGATCCAAAGCTCTCTCCTTATAGCTCTTATCGCTCAAAACACTTTCCAGCTTGTCCTTAATCTCTCCATGCCCAATAATCCCATTCTCATCTTTCCTCACCCTCAATCCAATCTTCCACTCGTCGCAAATGTACGTCTCGTTCATAAACTGGTCTGCGAAATACGGCCAGCACACAAACGGCACCCCACCGCACACAACCCCCTCGACCGTCGAGTTCCACCCACAGTGGCTCATGAAACACGCGACCGACGGGTGGGACAGAATCTGCTGCTGTGGGGCCCACCGCACGATCCGCCCCCTTTCTCCCACCCTCTCCCTAAAACCATCCGGGTATGTCTCCTCTGTGTCCCCCCTCACGACCCACAAAAACGGCATGCCTGTGAGCTCGAGCCCAAGTGCCAGCTCCTCAAACTGTTCTCTGCCAAACATGGTGAAACTGCCGAACGCAACGTACACGACGGAATTAGCCGGGTGGCGGTCGAGCCAGGCCAGGCAGGCTGGGTCCGGTGGCCAGAAATAGCCCAATGACTTCCTGTGGCCAGTGTTTGCCAGGAGAGGTCCTACGGGCGTGATGATTGGATATGCCGATAACACAGCCGTCTCTAAGCTGAATGACGAGTTGCAAATGTGTCGATCGGCCAGTTTTAGTAGTGAATGGAACTTGCTTGAGTCGAATGTGGATTTGCACCCGAACGAAGCCCATATGAAGTTGGTCGAATGAACGCGCGGCAAGTCGGGCGCGAACCGGACGGTCTCGTGCTTCAAGATTCGTCCTGAAAGTAAAACCACAAACATCTTTTAACTTGGAAGTTTATTAGTTAGTTTCAAGTTTTATATTTATCAAAAGATGTTTACTCTACCATGGCTGTCTATGATCCCATCACTCACTAACTTTGGTATGCTCAACAGTGAGGCTGTTGCTAGGCCGGATACAGTCCAGCAGGCCACTTTTCTGAGCCCGGCTTTATCTGCCACTCCAAGGGCCCAAGTCATCGACCCGTCAGCTATAACACACGTGACTTTCTCTGTACAATTTTTTCCGTTTAATTTCTTTATAACAGCTTCAAGCTCCGGGAGCATGACCTGGCACATTCCTTCGCTTAACCTCCTGATATCATTTCTGTCTTCCCATGGCTCGAGCCCGTCTGGAATCGAGACCAAGTTCACTGATTCTTGTAGCTTGTCTGAATGTGATAGTGATTTGGTGACACGTGCATGATTGAAGTCGGTGTTCACGACTGTGACCTTGATGCCGTGCATTGCGAGACGTTGGGAGAGCTCGAGCATGAGGAGCACGTGGCCTTGTGCCGGGTAAGGTACGGCTATTGCGTGTGGCTTACCCATGTATACTACTTGTGTTTGGCTTCACTGGTTTTTGCTTCATAAGGGATTATGTGCAGTTAAAACAAACTACTAGCTTTATTTGTGTGTTGTGATAAAATATTCTGGTGGGGATGGATAATTAATATGGCAGTCTTTTGTCCATGTGATTGAAGAATATATTCACGTGAATTAAATCTAATTAGTGCATATATCAAGCACTCCATGTGTGGTTTAGGATTGTGTTTAACTTTTTCTACAGAAACATGAGAGGCATGGAAAGTGGAAACATCAGATGCACACTATTAGTTTGTAAATTTGTAGACATCTGAATTTCTCTCGACATGAATTTTCTATGTTTCCTTAATCCACTCTATAAACCTCATCAAATTATTGTAAGAGTTCCCTTCCCCAGCACTTTCCAACACTTTCGCCTTAATACTCGCCACTCTTTCCTTAAACCCCTCATCACCCAAAACCCTTTCCAATTTGTCCTCTCCATGCCGAATAATCCCACTCTCATCTTTCCTCAACCTCAATCCAATCTTCCACTCGTCACAAATGTACGCCTCGTTCGCAAACTGCTCCGTGAAACACGACCAACACACAAACAGCACCCCACTTGAAACCCCTTCGACCGTAGAGTTCCACCAGCAGTGGCTCACGAAGCACCCGACCAACGCATGGGACAAAACCTCTTGTTCTGGGGCCCACACAACGACCATCCCTCGCTCCCCGACCCTCTCCCGAAAGCCCTCCTCTGTAGTAGTATGGGATATCATGTCTTGCATAATGACCCACAAAAAGAACCTGCCCGTGAGCGAGTGCCAGCTCACAGAATTGTTCTCCACTGAACACGACAAAACTGCGGAACATGACATAAACTACGGAGCCGGTTGAGCCACGCCAGGCAAGCAGGGTCCTCGGGCCAGAAGTGGATGAATGATATAAGTTAGTACGGCTCGAAAGATTAGTAAGTATGTTCACACTCTCAAAGCCCCATATTAGTATTTTGTTATTTGTGTTTGGTTACAAGTCTGTGATGAAGCTAGCATTTATGCATTTGATACTAAGATTTAGTAGTATTTTGCTATTTGTATTTGGTTACAATTCAAGAATGAAGCTTCCATTTATTACCTTGATATGTTAAAGTTTAGTATGTTGCTTAAATTGTGACAAATAATAACGATCAAAATAAATTAATAATTACATTTTTTTCCTTCATCGTATAAACTATAGTTTAACTTTATATTTAATTTTTTTCCACAAATTAGAAGAAAAATGAATATGTAAACCTATTACAAGATATTCTTTCTATTTAATATGTTAATTAAATTTTACTACATAATATCTTCTTAGGTGTTAGGTGACATTCCTTCTATTTAATACGTTGAATTAAATTTTATTTAATAATATCTTCTTAAGTGGAGGTGACGGTGGGGTGGCAGGGGACGTGGACACGGGCATGGCCGACATGGACGTTAGATTATGGACTTGTTTAAGGGGACGTGGACGACATTGAATATGAAAAATTCATAATCTTTCGAGTGGAGGAGATTTGTTCATAATCAATGTCGTCCACGTCCTCTAAAACAAGTCCATAATCTAACGTCCACGTCGGTCATGCCCGCATCCACGTCCCTGCCACCCCACCGTCACCTCAACCTAAGAATATATTATTTAGTAAAATTTAATTGAGCATATTAAATAGAAGGAATGTCACTTGCCACCTAAGAAGATATTATTAATAAAATTTAATTAAACATATTAAATAAAACGAATGTCTTGTAATAGGTTTGCATATAAATTTTTCTTCTAATTTATGGGAAAAAAAATAAATATAAAATTAAGACAATAGCTTATACTGAAAAAAATGTAATGATTAATTGATTATTATTTGTCACAATCCAAGCAACATACTAAATCTTAACATATAAAAAATAAAGGTAATAAATAGAATAAGAATTATCAAGTTACTGAATTGTAACCAAACACAAATAACAAAATACTATTTAGTGTATCAAATGCATAAATGCAAGATTCATCACGGAATTGTAATCAAACACAAATAACAAAATACTAACCTGGGGCTTTCAGTGTGAACTACTCACTAATATTTGAGTGGAACTGACTTCTATCATTCCTCCATCTTACCCCTTTACCGATCAAGTTATAAAAACTCACCCTCCACTTAAGCTTCATCACATACAACTCCCTTGTATCACCATCCTGCCTATCATTTCTTAGCTGCTCCCTCGCCTGGTGGCTCCAGTAGAACAGAATGTATGTAATCTTAAACTGCTTTTCCAGGCAGAGTCAAGACCGGGTGGTTGAAATCCACATCAGATAGTGTGAGGGCCTTCCGAACAGGTCAGCTGTCCCCGCCAAAATCGTTGCAGCCCACATCTGCTGCCGAGAGGTAGAGGCAGCCGTTCATCCACCGCAGCCGAATCTCCTGCCCGACTACGAGTCCCCTGTGTCGGACGATGTTCCACCACTTCCCAATGAGGTAGTAGTAGTTCCCGTGCCACCTCAGCTCCATCTCGTGCGTGTCCCCTGTGTCGTAGTCCCATGCATTTATGCACACGTGCTCCTCCTTCCGTAGCCTCTCCCTCTCCAGTGGGGCCCACTGCACGAGGATGTGATCCTCGACCAATTTACAGGGCAAGTGGAGGAACGGGTGGGTGGGGTCCACGTGAGACGAGATAAGGACCTTCCGGATGGGCTAGTGGTTGTAGATTATGGGCGGGGGGCAGCTGGTATCATCCGCAGGGGCGGGACGGGGACAGGTGGCGCCGGTATAGGAAGTGGGGGAGGGGGAGGAGGAGGAGGAGGGCCGGCCAGGCGGTGCTGGGAGACGGAAAAGTAGAGGCAGGAGTTGAACCAACGGAGGCGAATCTCCTGGCCCACCTCGAGGCCCTTGTCGCGGACACTCTTTCCCCATTTGCTGCAAACGAGGTTATAGTAGCTCCCGCGCTTCACCACTTGAGCTTCATGGCATAGGCGTCACCTGTGTCGTCGTCGTGGGCGTCAAGGCCATCCTGGCCCTCGGCTTGGAGTTGCGCCTTCTGCTGGGGAGTCATGTGCATTACGATGTGGGTCTCCACCTGCTGACATGGCTGCATGAGGAAGGGGTGGGTGATGTCAACGTCAGATAAAGTGAGGGCTTTACGAATGGGCCAGAGGTCGGGCACCTCCGGCATGGTGTTGAAGTACTTTGTTCTCTTCATTCCCTAAACGAAAAGGGATAAATAAGAAAAAAAAGGATAAATCAGAAAATTTAGGAAATTCTGATGTACGAAAAATAAATGGGCACCATATGTTGGAAAAGCGAGACAGAAGTTTACCGAGGAAGTTATTCAGAGCATGCGGCGTTCCAAAGCAATTATGGGAGTTGGATTTCCGGAGCATGCATAAAATCTATCACTTCAAAAGAACAAGAGAATGTGTCAATAAACATTGTTGACATTCTTCAAACGAACAAACGACATTACAACAAAATTGTCATATTCCAACAAAAAAAAGTTCCAACGGTAGTATATTCCAATAAAAAATTCAATGGATATTCAAATAGTATAGAATCCGGTGGAATAATCACAAACGAAAATATTCCATTGAAATGATCTTTCCATTGAAATTGTAGATGGAATTTGATGATTTCAACAGTATATTACCTTAGGAATTTCCTTCCCACCCATTATTTCAACTTCAACTGTTGGAAAAAAATCAACTGTTGGAAAATCTCCCATTGGAATAGTCAAAATCCAACAAAAATTTCAATAAAAAAACTCATTCCAACAGAAAAATATATTTTTGATGAATTTTCCATTGGTATCCATTGGAAAATTCCAATGAAAATAATAGCATGGAAAAATCCACTAAAACTGCCATCGAAATCCCATTAGAAAATATTTCCGCCGAAATTTCATCATGCGAGCCATTTATATATCTATTTGCTTGTGTTTTACGCTTTGAAATACTACAACTACATTTCCTAACAGCCAACAAGTCAAGAACTCCATATCAAATTGAAAAAAGTAAATCTAATCTCTAGTAACATAGAACATTATGCTAACAAATGTATGAACAACATAAACAGTGAGAAACAATAATCAACCACCACATGCTCACAATTCTACGATCGATATGCCGTTTTCGCCCAAACAAGCAGTTTGAGACTTTCATTCACTTAAATATGCAAAGCTTAACTCAACTAATTCAATAATATAGCAGAAATGAAATCCCCCAAATAAAACCCACCATAAATCAAAACCCTAAATACTTCAAAATCTATAAGCACACCAAAATGAAAATCATTCCTATTCAATTCCATACCCAGTTCTTTAAATATTCATCATCCACGCATACACACTGACATAAATAAAAGATCGAATATTCATCAATCACCTGGAAATATTAAATTTAAATCACGAAAATTCGTGCTTTGCGTAAAATTAAATCACGAAATAAGAAAGAGGACCGGAAAGAAGAACTGATTATTGAAAAACATATGTAGGATACGGCGGTGGCGGTGGCGGTGGGTGCAGCGGCGGCCTGGTGGTGGTAGAAGACGGGAAGAGTGGTGTGGTAGGTTATTAGGTGAAAGAAGCCAAATATGAAAGATATGCATTTACATTTAAGGTGTGATTGGTTGGGGTGATAAGGAGTGATATCCTTCCATTTATTAACATTTTCGGTCTATTAATTAATTAATGTGTTTGGTTCGTTCTATGTCGGCCCTTGAAACGTGCAAAGTCCGGTTCAATAATACCAAAAATTGGGATACCACATCAGGCTCCAAAGGTGGGATATGTAATCAATTTTATTTTGGCCTTTGATTTTCCATTTATATCCTCAGGCAACATTCGAAGAATTGAAATAATCAGCTCACTTTTACAAAATTTTTGAAGCCCCAAATTACACAATAAAATCTATCTATATATTAAAAGAATAAGCTTTTAAGGATTACTGTTAATTTTCCCGTCAATATATATATATATATATATATATATATATATATATATATATATATATTCACTAGCCAATTGTCTTTCATGTCCTAAAACTTAGCAATTGTCTTTTTTTTGGTAGATAGGGTAGTCAACGGCTGATTTATTGCTATTTATTGGGTAGATAGGTAACAAATCGACTGATTTATTGGGTAGAATTTGTTATTCTCTTTTCTTTTTTTTGGTATCAAAATAAATATTTGTAATTATTTTTGATATCAAAACTAATAATTTTAGATGGAACACCATAAATTCGGTATGATTTTATTAAATTAGACTTATAATATTTTAGATACTTGAAACAAATTGTTTAGACATTTTTTTGCATATTCCTATATATATATATATATATATATATATATATATATATACACATATACACATACACATAATTGATGTTAAATTTAAATATATGTAGACATGTTTTATTTACAAAATAGTCTAGAAATTTTTTTTACACAATGTTAAATTCAAATGTTTTTAGATATGTTTTTCTTCTAAAATTATTTAGAAAAGTTATAGGTGATTTCACATCTTTTAAAAATAATATAGAAAAATTTGAATACTATTACATATACTAATATAATATTTTAGGTGTTCTTAATATTAAACATACAAATTTTATGTTCTCTTATACAAAATAATGTAAATTTTATATTCTATTATACAAAATAATTTTACATTGTTTGACCCCGAATCTTTAATTTATAATTATTAAGTATTGTTTATTCTCCTCTTTAATTTATAATTATTGTTTTTTTCTTCCTCTATTTAAATAGGATCAATAGTAATTTCCACTTCCGCCATTGAGTGTCTCAAACTCGAGATTTATTTATATTTCGTTAATTTAATATTGTTCCCGTGCATAGCACGGGGTGTACACTAGTTTGAAGAATACGTATAACAAAAATCACAAAATTAAACTCATTCAACAAACACATGATCCACCACCAAATTAACAGCTCCCCATCACCAATTTAACAGCTCTTGCCGGATCCATAGTCCACCAAGCTGCCACCGCCGCCAGGTCCACCGTCCTTAAAGCTGCCCCCGCCAGATCTTTCGTCCTTCAAAGTCCAGATCCAAAGTCCTTCGAGCCGCCGTTGGTGAATTTGCTGAGGAAGAAGGCAGCGCCGCCGATGAATGTGGAGGCTCGATGAACCCTAACAACCGAAATTTGAGAGGAGAATAATGCGAGGTCCCGTGACTCCTGCTACGGCGGTGCCTCCGCCGTCGAAAGACGATCTCAACAAATCGGAGGAGATTAATATGGGTTCCATGGCCTCGCAAAGTATTTTTCTTTATTTTTCTTCTTTCTTTGTTCAACCTTTTGGGGGATTTGTGTAATTGGTATGGTTTTTCACATTTCTAATATGTAATTTTCTGCAGAAGTTATGAATGTTTTAAGATTTTCCATTGGAAATTGGTGAAAAGCATATGCACAGCTTTTTTATATCGATGGTGATATTTGCAAACTTAATTCATAATGAAGGGTAAAAGTGTAATAGTCTATTATCATCACCTTGAATCATGCTCAATTTATCATTGCAACCAATCACACCCTTAGAGGAAATCGGTCCATATCACCTTCTTTCTTTGTCCAAATAACCCTTGACCAAAACCTTTAATAAAAGATAATTCAAAAATCACTTACGGTTGTTGGAGGTTCCTTTGATATAGTTTAAAATTTGGGACTTCAGCCTAATTTTACAGCGGCCGGTGAGTCGTCGGCAAGACCCTAAATGAGCCTAAGAAGGCTATCGAGGTCGTGTGCCTCGTAATGAGCGTAACCAACCAATCGGCGTGCATTAGCACGTATTCTCAACGCGTATCGATGTCCCGCACACATTTCCACTCTCGTCCGATCGTTGGAGCCAAGCCACCGAGTGCGTGCCCGTGCACCGAGTCCGGCCGAGTCGCGCTCTGCCCAACGCCCGTGCGTCCATTCAACCTACCATCAACACGCCGTTTTTGTTAGCTGTGGTCCAAGCACGCCCCTACGTTAGTGGTCGTGGCACCGTTTAAAGCCCGTGCGTCGGCGAAGCCGTATTCGTGCGTGCCCGTGAGTTGCTTCGCCAAATTCGGACCACGTTTGAGTCAAGCTGCATATAGTCAAACGAGTGACCGGTCAATTTCGAGTGAGCCGCCAGTCCAGTCCAATCGAACCAGTCTGGATGGTTCGTAGAATTTCTAGTTCAGCCGAATAAGTCCGGGCAGTCCGGACGATTTGAGAGTTTTTCAGTTCAGAACATCAGTTTGAGCGTGAACCGAGATTTTAGTGCTTTTCCGAACCAAGTTAGATTTTATATTTCAAATCAAGTCAGAATATAGTTCCAGACTTAGAAATATTTCAGAGAACTCTAGAAAGGCTCAAGACAATAATTTTTCAAATTAGCTCATAAATTTTCTAAACTAAGATTTAAATGAATTTAAAATTGAGCAGGCGAGCCTAGTAAGATCAGATAATAAGATTGAAGTTTTCATATTGAGCTTCGTACTTAGAATATTTTGCTCAATTATTTTGTAGCTTGAAGAGAGTCGAGCCTCCGTCAGCTACCCATTTCAATTTCAACATTTGTATATCACCAGCTTCCAGGTGGGGATCCTCTACTGTGTATCTTATTGCTTTTATTTACTTATTCTGTCTGGGATATGTGTGTTAGTAGATTGATGGACCGAGAAGGATGAATGATCCCGCCTTGGTCAAGATGTCAGATACCAGCTGTGACTTGGATGAGTGGTGCATTATGCCCAGCCTAAGTCCAGCGTTATGTGTGGTGCATTTGCCCAGCTTGGATTTCTGTGGGAGGGGACCCCCAGAGTATGTACATGAGTACTGGATTACTGATAGTCCCATAGTTAGTCGATTTATTTATATATATTGTCAATTTCATGATTTGTAATTAAATGTAATGACTATACAGTGTCATTTCTGGCGGAGCACGTATATTATTTATACTCATGCCTTCCACTAACCATTTTTCAGGTGACGGAGTCCCGCGTAGCGCATGAGTCTTTGGTGGTGGCCAAAGTTTCAGGATATTTTGTTATATCATGTCATGTAGTATGATCGAACATGTTTGGATTATTTATGTTTTTTATGCTTGTGTGTGATGTTTGAACTTGTATTTGCTTCCGCGTTTAAGAACTTGTGTTTCAAATTTCAGATTTGTGTGCTAGATTTCAGACTAGTATTTCATATGTCAGATTCTTAGACTATGAATGTTTAAATCTGGTATTTTTCGTGGCGCTTTAATTCTAGAATGAATTTTACTTGGTCGCATGCATGATAGTTTAAAGAGACAAGGAGACAGAGATTAAATTTGAGTAGCATTCTGCAGATTAAAGTTAAAGTATTTTTAAAAAATTAATAAGAGTTTAAAAAAATTAGATCAGTACTTTCCAATTATAGCGCGAAAAATTTACTTTGATTTCAGTAATAGTAGGCGGGTTGTTACAGAAAACTAAGATTTCTTAAGCATAATACTTTTTGAGGTGAGCCACTTTCCATGACCTAAGTAAGAGCTATCCATCCCGATTTCTTAGCTCGTACGCCCCTCCTGTAAAAACTCGCTCTAGTTTATAAGGACCTTCTCACATGCTTGAGTGCATATGCTTGTTGCGAAATCAGGTTGCCAACCTAGAACTTACAGAAGTGCACCTTCTTATCCTGGGCTGCCCTCATTCTTTGTTTGTAGACCTCGGTACGTATCTGAGCTTGATCTAAGAGCTCGTCTGACAGATCTAGTGCTTCTTTTCTCAGCTCGACATTTTCTTCTTCCTGATACGCTATCAGCCTTTTCAAACTCAGACATATCTCAATAGGGATATCAGCCTCCATTCCATATACCAGGCTAAAATGGGTCTCTCATGTGGAAGCTCGTGGGGTTGTTTGGAGTCTAGCTCCTCCACCCATGCTCCCAGCGTGTCTTCCAGCCAGCCCTTGAGCCCGTTCAGTATAAATCTATTTACAACCTTGGCCTACCCATTTTCTTGAGAATGGGATACGGAGGCCAAGTGCTATGTTATGTCGATCCTCGCACCAGGCTGTAAACTTTCGGCCCTTAAACGTGGCTCCGTTGTCCAAAACTAGTATTCTCGGGATGCCTACCCACAACAAATGCTTTGAAAGAGATCTACCTGGATTTTATTTCCCTAACTTACCATATCTCTATCTTGGTAAGAGTCTTTGAGCGAGTGGCTCTTTATTCTTTGTTGGATTCTTTCTCCTATTTACTGTTTTAGCCCGGGGATCCTTAGGTTAAGAACCCGACCTCCCATTCTATCTGTTGTGGCCTTTCTTAGTGCGTCCCTAGCCTTGTCCTGAGGTCTAATCGACCTCACGTTTAGGTCCAACTTGTACCCAAGCCACCCGACCTTGATATGCGTCAAAGTCGACTAACTTACCATGCTCTTGGAGGCCGGTACCTACAGGCCGGGTTGTTTTTGTAAGCTCGGCATCTTAAAACCTTGTCGGACTACTTGGCCGAGCACCTTTTCTCTTATCTTACGGGAGTTCTCCTAGCTCCGCTATAGCCAAGCTACTTTTTCAGATCGACGTACTGAGTTGTTTTCTGGGTGTTGTATCACGACCGATCCCTCGACTTACCCGATCCCATAAATCAAGTTATTTCCGACAAGTCCCCACTAAGCCTTGACTCGACCCATCCGCACGTACTTCTCACATGATCTCACCCAACACCCTTTTGAGAGCACTACCCCAAGAAGGGAGAAAAGGAAACTGTCGACTCTAGCTAGTGGACATTGAAAAAGCTGAGTATCATAAGTCTCATTGGCCAACGAAGACTTGATTGAACCCAGCCTATGGACGCATCAACTCGCCCTGCAACTTAGAATCCTCGCCAAGATAGCCCGGAACCTCCTAATCATCGATTCACTCCTCCCCTGCTCGGCACATAACCCCTGTAGTCTGCGGCGTACTTGGACGCTCTAAGGGTCGCTCGCCCAGACGACCTCACACTTAAGGGTGTAACAATACCATATATGAAGGTTTGTGCACTGGCATCTATTTATTAGTTTTTCTGCTGAACAATTCAATCTTTTACTTGGTCATCCCTGCTTCACTCAATTGAGTCCTCAATTGAGGGAAGCTATCTCATGAGACAAACGTTACCTTCAATTTTGAGGATAAGTCGAGTGCATCCCGCTTGAGAAAAATGCTGCTGCGTGGACTTGTATATACATGAAATGAGGCGACTAGCTAACTTAGCTAAATTATTTACGCATTCAAGCAGCCATGCGCGTGCTTATGATGAAGAGTTGCTTTCACGTTGTATCTTTCCTAACCTTGATCGATTTTCTGTCCAGTTAGCCAGCTGATGTTTGATCATGTGGTGTGATGCTTTGTGCTATGTTGGTTGGAGCTTAAATATCTTTTTCAATATAAAAAAGATCCCAGATTTCCCATGAATTTCAGTAGAACCATCCAAGTAAAAAGCTTTCTCACTTTGTTAATACCTTTTTTTTTTTTTTTTTTGGTTATGTAAAAATTGTTTCTCGACATTTATTTTCTTTCATTAGTTCCCTTTACACATTCAATTTGTCATCTACAGAGAAAACGTAACTATCAGTTTTGAAATTAGAATCTCCCTCTCTCTCTCTCTCTCTCTCTCTTCCATCTGTCTCTCTTCCTTCCCTCACAGCGTCGGGTTCATAAGATCTTCAGGCGGCAAATCCCACAACGAACAGTCTGAGTTGAACATATTATTATCATCAGATCCATCACTACCCTTCCCATTCTCCTCGCACTCAGCCTTTTCCGCCGTGAGCCCCATCGGTGCCATGCTCGTGCTCCCGGTGCAAATGCTCTGGCTCCACGGTGACATGTTCCCGTCAAACTCATACTGAAAGCCCACGTCCGCCCCAGTAAACTCGAGGTACCCACCCGCAGCATTGTTGTGGTGGTCCCACGCCTTGCTGGCATTCATCCCGGGATCTTTAATGGCTCGGGAGAGGCCAAATCGAATCTTCTCGACATCGCTCTTGAGGTGGGCCCCGGGAGGGGGAGCGGAAGGGGAAGGGGAAGGGGAAGGGGGGAGATGATGGATATTGATACGGCGCTTGGCCAGAAGGTGAAGCATCTCGTCTTTGAAGCAGCCGAGGGCTGCTTCTGCCAGGCTCGGGGCCTGAGGTGGCGGTGGAAGGGTCGCGATCTCGGTTATGAGATGTGAAAACTTCTTGTGGGTCACCGGGTCGATCCCCATACCCGACAGCTTCTTCTTCAGCTTTGTATTCCAATGGTTCTTCACGTCGTTGTCCGTCCGACCCGGCAGCTGTGCTGCTATAACCGACCATCTATTTTTTTCGTCTCCCAAGAAACAGAATACAAAACTAAAATTAGTCTGCTGGGAAATGAGAAAAATGCTCTGCTTCTTATAAAATATGATATGGTTTTTACCGGTTTCCAAGTACGGAATGAAGAGTGACTATAGTCTCCTCCTCGGCCTCGGAGAATTGGCCGTGTTTGAGGTCCGGCCTCAGATAATTAGTCCACCGCAGTCTGCAGCTCTTCCCGCATCTCTGCAGACCTGAGAGCAAAACACAAAATGGAAATCAATCAATCAATCGTCTGTGGCGAACGAGCTAGAAACAGCAAACCGAGACTCGATTTTGAAGTGAGACCGGCGTGCTTGGGAATGAGGCGCCAGTTGCGGGTGCCGTGCTGGGCGATGTAAGACGAGAGCTTCTGATCCTCTTCCGGTGTCCACTGCCCCCGCTTCACGTTCTCCTTCTCGCAGCACGGGATTCGTCCCATCATTCAGCTAACTCGGAAGCTTCGTGTGCTTTTTTTTTTTTGGTCTCTGAAGAAGGGCAAAAGCGGAAAGAAATCAGTGGTCGAGCAAGCTAGTAGTATTGCACACGGTGGGGTGTGTCCTTTTATCTCTCTCTCTTTTTTTTTTTTAATAAATTATTTTGATTTTGGTAAGCAAGTAATAATGTAAGGCATAAAAAGCGCATGAATTGATTAAAGAATTCAACGCCCGTAGGGCGTGTGAGGGAAGGGCCGGTGAATCACCCCCAAGACGCCCGGTCAACGCCTCCCCCATCCCACAGAGGGTTGACTAAATGTGGCGGGATTTCGGTTGGGGGTTGTTTTGGAATATTAGTTAAAAGAGTCACAGTTGCTTTTATTTTTTATCTTTTTATCTTTTTTTTTTATAGGAAATTGAGGTTGTGGCGTCATGTTTCTTGCGAAAAAAGATCCTCAACATGCATGCACTTAGTTTCCCGCAAGAGGGACCGGTCAGTAATTCTTTCATATGAGTGTGTGTAGCCTGATTTACTTCTCTTTATATTTGCCATATGTGTTTTAATTCAGGGAAATGCTAAAGTCTCGTTACGGAACCATTTTGTCGGGACTTGTAACCATTAGATTATCATGTAACCGTGAGAGATAGTTGATCTAACGGTTACAAATCCCTCCGGTATGGTTCTGTAGTAAGACGGTAACATATATATTCCTTTAATTCAAAGTTGTATTCATTACTACTTTATTATTGTGATTCACGACTTCTGGAAATTATGTAAGAAGTTTTCTAGAGGGCACCTGCATTGCTATCATTTATTTGAAAAATTCGAAGCTGCTCATATGGGCACGACAGTCAAACCCTAGAGACCCTTCATTTATTTGAAAAATTCGAAACTGCCCCTAGGGCACTGCAGTCAGCCCCTAAGGGCAGCATTGAACTAACCCATTTATTACCATTTCAATAGATCGACACATGTCAATAAGAATGTGGCCAATATATTTAAATAAAAAAATTATGGGACCTACTGCTACCATACAATGGCGTTAACGACTATTTGATAATAATTTGTTACATATAAGAAAAATTCCGATCTGGATTAATCTGTTAAATGAAGTCGACAAGGAAGGCGTGAGCAACAAATTTACATCAGCGGAATTTCTAATGCCATGACGCGCCCAGTACATCGATATAGGAACACCTGAAGATCATGGAGGTCGTTCCCCATGCCGATCTCACTCAGGATCACGTGTCCTTCAGGCCACTCATAGAGGGGAAATATTCTTACATCTGCACCGATGGTAAATGTATAAAGCTTCCTTCATGCCGATCTCGCTATTCAGTCTGATGAGGGTTTGTCGCCTAAAACTGATTTCCACTGCCCAGAACCACTTTGCGTCGCCCAGTGTGGATGGAATCACCGATTACAACTGGTTATTTAGACAAGTGTCCCAACACATGCCACAGTGAATGTAACAGACCCGTCCAAAACCTACTACGTGTCCCATGATGTTTTTACTTTTTCTTCTATATAAATTGCCATGCTCCGGTACTTGGAAAGGGGCATCGAATTCTAATAAAAAAATGTATAAGAGATCACAAGATGATCCATATCCATATTTATCAATAAAATACAGTGCAAGCATACGAACGTAAGCACCTAGTTTGTTGACCGTCTTATTGCATACATTTTTATTAACCGGTTAACCCCATTCAAATCCATATTATATATAAACTTGATATAGCATATTATTGCTACATAATCTTGTCGGTAAAAATCGACTATCTACAAATTGGTGCTAGAAGGAGTGCGGCTCAGTCTGCTAATCTCGTTACTCTACCCAGAAAAATAGCCACACAATGAGCCTTATATCATGTCTTTCCAATCGCCATCCTAATTTCTTATCATTCATAGATATGGCATATATAGTCCCATCGGCCGCCGGTTGAGTATCTATTAGCTCGCCTTCAACATGGATATGGATCGATTAGCTCATGCTTAACAAGAACGTTATGGGAAAGATAAATCGATCATGTGATAATAAAGGCTACATAGAAGTCAGATGATCTAATGGTGGTTATAGGAAGGTGATCAGGTTGGAAATTCTTCAACAGTCTTTCATTGAGGTCGTAAGTCATCTAACCCAGCGATCAGTCTGTCGATCTGGGTAGTAATGAGCTCATCCTTTGTCAAGACCGTGCTCGACGACCTTGATATCAATCGACCAGCATGGACCAGGACGACCTGGGTAGTAATGTTATGGGTAGTAATGAGCTCATCCTTTGTCAAGACCGTGCTCGATGACCTGGATATCAATCAACCAACATGGGCCACGACGAGAACAGAGGTTAGATATTAAGAGCATTTTTGTATATAAAATATTTCATTCAAAATGGATTTTTTGGTTAACTAGAGTATATTTGAAAAAATATGGTATGGTTAGTTGTTAGTGAGATTTTGAATTTATATTAAAATAAAATTTTAAATAAAATAATTAAAGCTGATTTGATGTAAAATTATGAGAGAGATGATATAAAGTGATGGTTAGTTAAGAATGATTAGATGGTATTATATAATTATATTGATAATATTAAGGATATTAGAGTTGAATTAAATTTTGAGTTGAACGAATTTAAATTGAGAGAAAATTTTTGTATACAAACATGCTCTAAGGAGCTTGGGTCAACTAAATATTTCTTTGGAGTATAAATAGGCAGCATGTAAAAACGGGCTGAGACCCGCCCTACCCCGCCCAAGATAAAAGAGTGGATCGGGCTAGGATATTAGAGCGGGCTTAAATAGGCAAGCTCGCATGGGCCTCGAGCTTTGGCGGGGCGGGTAAAAATCAAGCACATTCTGGCCTTTCTCTTTTCCCTAATTTCCCAAATAGTAAACCCTCCCCTTTTTTCCTCTATTCTCCCATCGATGTCGACCAACATCTGATTTGCGTAAGGTCGTCGACATTGCTCCGACTTTTTCGATCTCTCTCTTCACGACGTGGATTTCGACCCTTTCCAGTTTTCCATGGTGGGAGTTCGAGGTCTAGAAGGTCCGGTGGTCTCGGGTTGGTGGTTGCCATTGGCGGCCTTGCGGCGGTCCGGACGATGGATTAAACTTTGGTTTCCCTTATTCGGCCTTTTCTGGTGTTGGGAAAGTAGTTTCCTCTAGAGGCGACGGTGTTGTGGTGTTGTGGTTCTGGTTTGCACGTGGGGTGGGGTGGGGGGGGGAGGGGATTGTGGTGCTATCTGCTGGAACATGTCTGTGGTTGCTGGGGGTGGTTGTGTAGGGCCATAGGCCGTGCGATTTTCCCTCGGTGGATCTCGTTTGGTGTTTGGCTTGGGTTGTTAAGGCGTTGGGTGTTCCTAGCTGGAGAGGAGGCCTTTAGTCAAATATCTAGGGTGTTGAGGGCTTGATTGTTTATGAAATAATTTGTTCAAAATGAGTTATTTTGGTTACCCATAGTTAATTTTGAAAAGGTGATATGTTAGTTGTTAGTGAAATTTTAAGAATCTATTAAAATAATATTTAAAATAAAATAATTAAAATTGATTTGATGTAAAAGTAAGAGATAAATGATTGGAAATGATAGGTAGTTAAAATTATGTGAGTGGATGAATAGTGAATTAAAGTTGATGTGATGTGTAATAATGATTGGTTTGTATTATTTAAAAATATTTAAATAATATTAAAAATAGTGGGGTTGAGTTAAAATTGAGTTAGATTTTGAGTTGAAAAAAAAAAGTGAGTAAATTATTCCGTAAACAAGCAAGCCCTGAGTGTTTTTAGGTTTGTGTCTATGATTTTTTGTGTTTATGTTTCTTTTATACAGTTTGGGAGTTAATTCTCCACTAGTGGGAGCCTTGTATTCTAGGTTTGCTATTTGTGTAGTCTTGTTTAGTCTTCTAGGCTACAATCATCTCGATTTGTAGGCCTCTCTGTTTTCAGTTTTTGGTTGTTTCTTTCGGCATGTTGGTCGCTTGTAATATCGTGTTTTAGGTTTAATATATTCTGTCGTTTCGGGAAAAGAAAAAAAAGAGGAATTGGGACAAAAAAGAGGCTAACTGAATTGGGCATAATTTCAGTTTTTTCATCTCCATTCTTCAGCCCTAATTTCATTCTCCTCAACTCTCATATCCATTCTCCACCCCGTGGAACATTATCTTCTAGGTCGAATCAGGCACACATAAGGAGTTGTCCACTGATATGTCACGCGTCGGTGCCGAGGACTCCTGATTCCTCCACATCGAACTCCGTCAGTCGCGTGGCTCTGTGTATCTCCACTTGGCGAGTCTGACTCTAGAGTGGTTCCCAGCGGGAAGAGGCTTTGTCAGAATCCAAGGAGAGGCAGGGGAGATCGTTGTGCTCATGGCCGGATGAGAAGGAGAGAGAAAGTTGGGAGAAGATGGGTAGCGAGTTGTTGTTTTCTGATTCCTTCAGCAGAGGGAGAGTTAGGGACATCGATTTGACAACAGCGCTTAATCTGGAGGAGCTGAGGGCGAGGATGTGCTTTAGATTTCTGGAGGATTCCGTATTAATTTTTCGGGAGAAGACAACGGCACAACGGAGACGGGGAAGAAAAGACGAAGACAATGTCGTTTGGGAGCACTTGTTCTTTTCTTTTAAATTTTTGGACGGGCCAGCCTGCGGCCAGTGGTGGGGTTGGGTTAGGCTTGCGTTTTGAAGACCTGCCGAGTTGGTGGCTCGACCTATCCCACCCTACCAGACGACAGGTTTGGACGGGTTGTGGGTCGGCCTGCCCCACAAACCCGTTTGACACAAAACTCAAAAGAATAACAAAATAAAGAGAAACACAACAAAATAAAATAAACATCAAAACTAAATATCCTACTTGTCTTCCCCAGCAACATCGCCAAATTTGTTGTAGCAAATTATTTTTTACCGAGTACGGGATGACTCCCGACCTCGGGTCGATCTCTCGATGAAGGCGATTTGAAATATAGAATCAGTGTTCTTCACACATAAAAGCAAAATAAATCCTAAACACTTTAATTCAAAAGATTTGGTTTTAATTTTCAACTAAGAAAAATCAGAAAATGCAAAATCAAAAATCAACTAAAAAAGATGAATCAAACGATGATAAAGAAGCTAGGGAGTCGGGGATAATTTATTCTGTCCTAAACGCAAAACTAGGCAAATAATTGTTCTGTTCAAGATTGACACTCTTGCTTAAACATCTAGCGATTCGCTCCCATAACTTTTCGTAATAAGGGATTGAACACAAATGAAAAGGTTCAAGCATACAACACCGGCATAGGGTCTGATCCCAATAACTATGCGTAACAAGGGAAAGGACGTAGACGAGCATGTATTCCAATCCAAAACCTATAGTTTTTTTTATGAAATCATCTATCTCATGCGAGCCTAGGTCTACAGCTTTTCCCCTTTCGGTTCTAAAAGTTGCTAAATTAAATTAAAAGATGATTAGTCGACAAATCGTTTAGAATAAAAAACCTTAACTCGAAAGAACAATATTCAATTGTTGCCAATACAAGAATAAGTGACACTCTTCAATTACATTCAACTTTCAAGCATGAAATTATCGGTCCCTTTTCAAATCAACTCGCACGAGAACGAACAACTCAAAGCCCAACAGATACGAACGAACAAGAATATTTATCCCCTATCCCTAGCAAATGAATTAGCTACGCATATCGAATTTTTAACACAAGCCCCATATCAACACAAGTCATCCTTTTCATAAAAAAGTAATGCTTGCGATTAATATAGAAACCAAAGTTAAATCCCAAATCGAAAACCGAATCTTGGAGTGTCACTCTCCAAGATCAATCCAAGATGAAGATTAATGTGTTTTTAGGTGAAAACTAGAAAAAAAAAAAAAAAAAGAAAACAGAGTCTAGAGTCCCCCTATTAGGTCTGGGAACATATCCCCTCTAAAGTGTTCGAAAAAATGGCTTAAAATTGAGATTAAAAAATCAGGTCGTCGCCTCCGCTGCCGCGAGAAGGTCTGAGGCCGCGAACTTCCTGTTGCAGAAGTATTCCATGGCCGCGTGAATCCTTTGCTGGTCGTGGTGCAGAAAACTGGGTTGTTGTGCGCGGCTTTACGTTTCGAGCTCGTTTGAGCTTGTTCGAACTTGTAATTGAGTTTTGTTTTTTTCTACTTGTCGCCAATGAACCCTTCTACATAATTAAGCTCGCAAAACTATTTCTTTTTTCAAAATCATATCCGCCCAAATAGGGGCGAAAGCACTTGGGGGGGTCGAAGAGGCGCCGACCCCTCCAAAAAAAAAAAAAAAAAATTAAACTAGGGGTGGAAGATTTTGCTGGAACTGGAAGATTTTCCTTTGAGTGCGCATGTTGGGCCCTCCCCGGTTTCATGCGGTACATACATGGGCGGAGGGGCGCCACCGGTTTTGTCGTGAAAATTTTTTTTAAAGACAAATTGGGCCTTCCCCGAAACGAGATCCTGGTTTCGGAACAAGGAGAACTATAATAGCAGCAGAATTTAATAATTTTTACATTTTTATTATATTTTGAGTTGGTTAATTAGCCGACTTGCGGTGTACCGACGGGACTCAAAAACCGAGTCGATCATTACCGAAAAATACTTTTATGAAAGTACGAGAAGCGAAGAGTGCGTTGGTGGCATCGATTTATTATTTTGAGGTCTCGACAATTTATTTTGGGTAGCCCGAAGTTGAGAGAAAAATGGCAGTGGCGGTGATTTTATTGTCATTTTCATGTCTAGAATTCGGGTAACCGTCGACCCTCGTTAGGCGTGTTGAAAATTAGCGGGAGTGCTTTCTTGAAAGCACGAGAACAGTAGAAGCCGTCGTAAAATTTATTTCACGTTTCGAAGTTTGGAGCATTTATTTTGAGAAGCTCGAAGTCGAGTGCGCATAATTAGAAGAATAAAAAGCCGTTTTGCGGGGTTCCGTAAGGTTGCGTGTGACCTCGGTTTAACGAGAATTGAGTTGGAGCGTGTAGACAATTCAAACATGATTCCATACGGATAAATTTCGCATTTTTCGGAGTTCTGAGCATTTATTATGGGAGTTTGAATTTCTGCGTTAAATAGTATCAAAATGAGCAAATTTGTCAAGGACGAGTTCGATCGTTCGAGGCTTCGTTTTCTCAATTTTTTCAGCTTTTCGTCTATTCGAAAGGAGGTATAATTTTTTATTATTATTATAATTGCATCCGAGATTTTTATTAGTATAAATTCGGGTATTTTTCGAGTTAAAACAATTCATTTTAAGTATACCAGTTTAATTCCGGACTAGTTTGATTTTTAGAAAAATCTCTAGAGTATTCCTGTATATCTTGCGAAAATTTTTGAGAGCGTCCACAAAAGCCCTTTAAGCGCCCTTCCGATGCCGGAGTGGGGGTGGTGCGCCGCGGGATGGCCGGAGTGGGGGTGGTGCGCCGCGGCAAATTGGGCCCTCCCCGGGATGACTGGCTGGTTTCGCCACTGCGCCCAAAGCTCCCGACCTGTATGCCAAAAACGACATACATACGAAGAAAACCGGAAAACACAAACAAAAACACAAAAAAAAACCCAAAATAAAAGAAAACACATAACAAACCACAAAATAGACCAAAAACCAACGAAAAGACCGAAAAAATAGGAAAAAAAGAAAGACAAAACAATAACGAAAAACGACACAAAAATACCGAAAAAATAGGAAAAAAAGAAAGACAAAACAATAACGAAAAACGACACAAAAATAGGACAAACTCTGCTCTTTGTCATACAAAGTACATCTTGGATCTCCTTGCAATTGCTGATATGTACATGTTAGATTGGAATGCACCTGCCACGCCACTACCTTGTGGCCTTAAATGAACACATAGGATGTATCTCCCTTTGGAACAATATGATCAATTTTCAAGGGTTGTAGAGAGGTTGTTTAATTTCAATCTGACTAGACCATATATTACTTATGTGGTTCAACAACTTAGTCAGTTTGGGAACTCACCCCAGACTTCTCAATAGGATGCAGCCATGCATGTTTTATCTATGCTTTCTAAAGAGCAATAGTGTTGGTCTTATTGCTTATTGTTATGCAGATTGGTCCTCCTGCAAGGCAAGGACAACAGATGATCTCTTACTGGTTATTCCATTTTCTCAGGTGGATCTATTGTTTCCTGGAAAACTAAGAAGCAACAAACTTTTTCCATGTCCTCGGCTGAGGCAGATACGACGCTATGAGTTATATTGTGGATGACCTACATTCTCGAGGACTTCCATGTTCCTGTGCGCTTCCCCACTCCTCGTCGGTGTGACAATAATGCAGACATATCTCAACTAACCATGTTTTTTCACGAACGTATAAGCATCTTAAAATTGATTGTTACTTTATGAGGGACAAATAGAAATCAAGGTTGGTGTTACCCATATATCTTGCTTCTCGACTTCAATTGGTTGATCTTTACCGAGATTCTCCTAAGGAAGCAGTCTCGACTCTTGTTGTCCAAGGCGGACTCGTAGAGTAGCTATGTGTGTGTTTGATCTTTTGTAGTTATGTTGTTTTCTGATATTTCCTCACATGTAATAGTCGTGCTTTTCTTTTATAGTCGCGTACATCTTATGTTGGTTGGCATTTTTAGTTGGACAACAATTTTTTAGCATAGTAATACATATTAGGCGAGACAGCAACTTTTAGGGTAAGTTTGTATGCAATTTTGCAAGTTTGTATGTAATTTTGTTCTTCTTCTTCGTGCATGTACGTACAATTTACTCGAGAATTGAAAATGGAAGACTTTCCCCCATTTGTGCTCTAAATTCAACAATCACCAAATTTATCCTCTATTTTCATAAATTTATTTACCACCAAAAGACATGGTCACAATATCACATCTTAGCTAAATCGCGCAACAATTAGACCTTTAATAGATCCAACAAATGCGAAAAGAATGACAATCAGAGTTACAAACCAATATACCCTGAAAAGAATCGATTTTGGCGTCCAAGGTCGGATGTTTTTCTGCACCAGGTACATCTCGACTGGGAAATATACCACAATGGGCCAAAAATTGATGGCACCAGCTACTCCCACTACTTGGTTGAAATAAGGGAAAAGAATGGCAAATCCTGTGGTGAACGCAACGTATGTTGTTCTAAGGCACATCCTCATAGGGTTTAGCCTGAAAACCGTCGCTTCTTTGAGGTTGTAGTGCACGAATCTATTATTCGGAAACTTCTCGACAAATGATTTCTCGATACTCGCATAGAGGGGCTGGCTAAACACCTAGCAATGTATACGATATAAAATGAATTTAATTTTTTCAAGTGAACAAGATATATTAAATCAATGGGACGGCGAGAAATAATTCTAACAAAAAATTCAAATACAAAATTATTTGAAGAATTCAAATAAAGAATAATTGCTATTTTGAAAATATTAAAAATGCCACCAATATTTTCTTCTATTCCACAACCTAGCTTACGTAGTAGTTAGGCTGCACACAAATCGAGCGGCTCGCAAGCCGCTCGACTCAAGCTCGAGTCGGCCCGAGCGGCTCGAGAACTAACTCGAGTCGAACTCGAATCGAGCTCGAGACCATATTTTACATTATCGAGCAGCTCAAGATATATGTTCAATTACTAAAATACCTTTTGTACATATATATATCATAATATTAATATATGTACTTAATTGTAATTTTACAAACTTGCTTGAAAATTTTTGAACCGGACTCGACCAAGCTCGAGCATTTTGAATTCGAGTCGGCTTGAGCTATTGTATTTTTTTTGTCGAGTCGAGCTCGAGCTCGAACAACTAAAAAAAAAAATCAATCCTGCTCGATAAGCCCAATGCTCGACTCGGCTCGTTTGCATCCCTAGTACTAGTGCAACCGGCGAGGGAGCACGTGAGGGAGCCGATTCCTGACGGTCGAGGGTCTTTTCATACCAGTGATATTAAAATAATTTAAGAATGAGAATAAAAAAAGAAATATTTTATAAAGTAAAATGTAGCGCGAAGACGAAACTTGATTTTTGTTTCACTTTATTCTAGAGTAGAGTAACTCTACAATAGAGTAGAAATAAGAGTTGGAGATGCCTTACAATAACTCGTTTGAGCGGTATATAACGATATGGAATGCGGCATGTATCTTTAAGTCATTTAAAAAATAGAATATATATAACAAATTCAAATTTTACTATGTAAAAATAGCGGGAGATTTTCAGCTTAATTATAATCAGTCTTATTACTCTCTACAGATTAGATAGCCCACAACAAGTGGAGGTTTTGATCAAGTAAATACTAACTTGTTCAAGAAAATCTGTGTTTTTTATTTTTTATTTTTATTTTTTTTTCTCATTTTTCTGTTCTTTTTCATTGAGAAATATGTGAAAGTCAAATACCTGGTAGCCTCCAATGAGATGAAGGACGACACACGCGTTAGCTAAATCGACAAGCCAATACGGCTCGTAAAATCCAAATCCGGTCAAGAGATTTCCGGGAGTCGAATTCCCAAATGCGGCATAACCGAAACCTCCGCAGCATAAGTAGAAGAGTGTCGTCATGCAAACGGCTATTACTGATGCTCTCTTCATTGTGACTTTTTCAGGTGGATTCGACCTCAGAGTATCCTTTCATATGATCAGTCTAATCTATAAAACTCTTCAACACTTAATTATTGCTCAATGAATAAATACATAAGTAAAAAAAATTACTAACCATTATCTCCAGGAAGATAACCGAAAATGGGAAAGCGAAGGCAATGTCGCCAAGCGCTTGAGAAATCGACCACACTTTGTTAGCCACAGTCGACTCGTGAACTCCTCCGACACTACCTTTTATTTCTCCATTTTCTGTAAAGCAAAACCAGTAAATGGTGAAGAAAAATTACAAGTTCAATTATAGTCTTATGTTTCTTCTAAAAAAGAAATACTACTATTTATGTACCTATAACTTTTGCCAGGCCAAGACCTGATCCAATAGTCGAGTAGACGAATGACATAACTGCAGCAATGATGGAAAGCCACTCGGTGTTTCGAAAGTCGGGTATTTGGGACAGTATTACCTGAACAAATCCGAATATAAGCATGTAATAAGCTCCATCATATTCACACACAGATTTGTGGCCTTGGCTGTGGAAACAATTAGATCGTTGTATTGCCCTGAATCCCATTTGGAAAAGTGTGACAAATTGTTAAAAAATGAAAAATAAACAGATCTTAGTGCTATCAATTTACTTAAATGAGTCGGTGAATGCTAAGAAAGTGCAATGAAGATATAAATTAGGGTAATGCCACGGTCCCGTTACGGAACCATCTCCGACTGTTACATGATGATCTAACGGTTACAAACCCCGACCAAATGGTCCGTAACAAGAAAACCGTAGCATCTCCCTATAAATTAAAGACTAATTACAGCAACGACCCAGAAATGTCTAGCTAAATCCCAAAAAACAAAAAAAAAAAATAAAAAAAAAAATGAAAAGCATACCTCATGCTGATGGATGCTGTAATTGTATAGACAATACCGAGCTTGATGAAGTTTATTCGGACAACAATACCGCATATCCAGGCGCTCTTCTTTCCTGAGATAACACACCAAAATTTCTGAACAAAACAATCTAATTTTCTCCGAAAACACTAACCAAAAAAAGTCAATTCAGACCTAACTACTGTAATTAATCGACAAAACAAAGGAAGACGATGACAAATCTCAACAAAACTAATAATAATAATAATAAAATAAAGACAAGGGTTTGAATAGATTATTATTACCTAGTATTCTCCGAACAGCATCCAAGTAAGAACCATTCCTATGGAGGGCAGTGGCGTCTGAAGACTCGTAGCAATTGGTGAGGAGAAAAGCGGAGGTGAGGGTGAGGGAGGCGAAGGCCAGCACGGCGAGTGGGCCGCCGACCCACCCGAGCCTCGATACGCTCCATGCCAAGGACAGCACGCCCGACCCTATCACTGCCGTTATTATATGGGCCAAGGCCGTCCATAAAGTGCCCGACCGCCCGCCAACACACATATTTTGAAGGTGGTGTATAAAAAATGGGGGAAAAACTTATTAATTAATTAATAAATAAACCAGTAAATCAAACGGTTCTTGTCATGAATAATGAATACGCATTTAGTCAAATCAAAGCCGTGAAGAAAGGCGAAAAAATAAAAAAAGAGACAATAATAAGAGACACGTACCATACAAAAATATATATATATATATATTAAAATAAAATAAAAAAACTGAATTCTTTTTTAATTTATTACAATAAACTAGTACAATAGTTAAAAAATTATTCTTTAATTCAAGATAAATATAATTTCTTATTTTTATATATGAATATTATATCGAAGTTCATCAATCAATAAATAATTAATTTGATATGTTATATATGTAAAACTAATAAAAAATACAAAAAATATAAACTTTTAGAATTTATTTACAATTTCGAATTCAGTAGTTATAATAAGAAATGATATTAAAATGCAATTAATCCAGACCTCATTTTTTTTGGATTAGAAATAAAATTAAAACATATTCAAGCCTAATAACGAAATATATAATTTTGTCACATAGAATTTCAAAGTATGCGAGTCTGCCGCTTAGGCTCAGCATGTTCTGAATTAATATAAAGGGAAGGGGATGTGATGTGGATTTTATTTATTATTATTATTATTGGTTTGGACTTTGGAGTTTGACTATTCCTTTTACACATAAATTTTCGTGTGAGTGGCAATAATTATTAGGGCAATGCTATATGTACACCCCTTTTTAATAAATTACACAAAGGGCAATGCTATATGTACACCCTTTTTTTTACACACAAGGGAGTGTACATATAGACACCCCCTAATTATTATTGACACTATGTTTTTTAAATAAAAGTATATATATATATATATAT